GGGCACCTAGCTGGGGGACCTAGATGTGTCGCGCAGCTTCACACAACATCTGAGCCACAGCGAAAAAAAGCTATGGATTTGGTCGATCCCAGAAAGGCTCGATCGGGTGTGTTAAAAGGAGGGTTCAACAGGAGGGTTCAGAAGGAGGGCTCCAACAATTCCGGGGCTGGTGAGGGCCTACCACCTGGGAATAGTTTTGAGGGTGAAAGCACAAGCAAACTGCAGCCTCTGTCGGGAACCGATCGAAGTCCGACGCCTGCATTGCCGGGCTTCCCCCATTGACAAATCAATTCTGGGATCATATGAAACACCTTTATCATTGTGCTCACGTTACACCCCGAGAGCTTGCCATAAATCATGCAAACGACTGCACCCTATAAATAAATGTTGTTCTTCCCAGACCGGAACTTTTAGAACAGGCCAATTCTACTAAATTGGCTGCTTGCTTGTCAAACCCGACCGCAGTCATATTAGGGGGGTACTCCAGGAGCCAAGCTCCCTGTACCAACCCCGTACTAGTCAGAATCGAAAAACCAGGGCCCCGCTGACTAACATTCTGAGTGAATAATAATATTTCACCAACCTAAGACAAGGTGGTTGGGGGGGTATTCCCAACATAAGCCCCCCTGCGGGGTGAGGTCGTGTGAGGTCGTTCTAAAGCTCGTACTACAACCAAATGACAAGCAACATGTTTGACCTTTCCAAGGGGGATGCTCATTTGCTAGCTCCCCATACCAACCCTATACTTTGAAAAACCAAGTTTGTACCAACGAGCTTTTCCTTTTCACAATTTGTACTACGCCCTATTGACTGAGTTGCAATTTGCGCCCGTTTGCGGGGATGAATGAGTACATTTGCTTCTGGGGAAGCCCATCTGACCCCCAATTACCCTATGAATAGAGTTCGCCCGGCCCCTGTCCAATACTTGTTCATACGGGGCCCATGGGGGACATGTTTATGATTAGCCGAAGGGGCTCTTCAGCGCCCTTGGTATGGGTAGCAAAAAGCAAATGCTTTTTGCAGCCCCCTAATCAGGCCCCTAATTACTAAAATGAACCGAACCAAACAACAGTGAATGGCTATTGTTCTACGCAACTTCCGCGATATATGCTGCGTGGTTGGACACTTAGAAATATATGCAGACCGTATCTGCTACATGCATGTACATACATGATCACATGTGCTTGTATCTACACATAAACTGCCAAATCTTATCATTGGTTGTATTCCTAGGCCACAAACGCAACATGCCCACTGCGATGTGCAGAAGCTGCTTCTGAGACGTCAAGGATGGAAGCGAAAACTGTCGGCCGGTCCTGACTGCCGCTCAACAGCTTCATGCGCTGGCGCAAGGCCGCAGTGGTCGCGGGCAGAAGGCAGTCCGGCTCCATGCATAGAGCCTTCTTGAGACTCTCCTTGCGAACAGCTTCCTTCCATTTGCTTAAGCCCCTGGAAAAAGTCCAGAGTGATCGATTCCTTTTAACACCAAGGGAAAACAAACAATATTCTTGAACAAATGGAAGTTTCAGCAGAGTTGCGTCTTGCTGAAGTCTCAAATACTGTTGTGTTGCTGGTTGGCGAAGAAGAGTTCTCACGGGACGTGTCGTGCTGAACCTACTCTTGTGTCACATTGGGCCACATGAGGACAAAGGGCGTCCTATGATGGTCAGCGGCACCCGCGAAGCAAGCGTGCTCTAGACACTCAGTTGCTCACATCGCACAGCATGCGTGTGTGTGCGTGTGAAGACTGAACGCCTTGTGCAGTGGCTTCATGTGGGCTCCCTGTTCAATCGATCCCATGAAACATCCCCAACTTTGACACATAGCCATGTTGACTGCCACTGTTATTGTGGAAGACATGTCCCATGTGCTTCACTCACCACTCTGATGTGACAAGAGATTCCTCCCCCGCCCCGCCCGCCCCGCTCGCCCCTGCCGCATTCTTGAGAAAAAACACACACCGCAAGTTGTTCAAGTATAAAGTTAGACTGCCGCGCCGGCACCCAGCGCTGGAAAGCTGGTCCAATAAACGCCACCAACTTGTGTCCTGTTGAACAACATGTGAGTCGTAACTGCAAAAACCGATCGGTTTCAAAATGGTCTACCCAGAACCATAAGAACTAAAAAGGCGGACTTCCCCCTACCAGCCTTCTACCGGGCTTTCATTCTGGCTCATGTTGAGATGATTCCTCCTTCAACATAGAACTAAAACGGGCCAACGCCCTCAACCATCCAGGGTGGGGTGTGTGGGATTCTCCAGTAACCAAAAACATCGACAGGTTGACAAGCTGTGCTCTTGAAATTGACGTGTCAAATTGTTTCACAACATAATAAGCGGGCCTCTTTTAAGGAACTTGAAAAACCAAGCCCAAGCTTGGACAAGCAACCGGACTGAGTTTTTAAGGGACACCAGGCACCAGGCCTTCTAGAGGGTCCCCTCAAGACCGCCAGTTCATGCACTCCATCCCATATGAGGCAATAGCAAGGCTATGAATCTGGCAAAGAAGATCAAAAAAGTCAATGTTCAGGCTATGGCCCAATTTCACACGGGGGTTGATCAATATTCCGTTCGGCCCCCAAATTACCATGGGTAACTCTTCCCATTCAGTTGGGGAACATCCTGTTTTCAGTGGCTTTCGCAATGGTCATCCCATACTTACTGGATCTTTTGGTTAAGCCCCAGCTTGCGCTTGTCCAAGCCAATGGTCCTTGCAGGTTGTGGTGCTGTTGACATCCAGGCGATTGCCGGGGTCGAAGTAGGGATAGACGTTCCTGAGAGATGCGCAAAGAGCCGTGCCATCCACTAGCGTGTGGTCTGGCAGCAGAAACATAACCCAACAAGATATTACCACAATGCGGTAGGGGCTCCGGCTTATGTACCCGAATAGGTTGATCCCAAAGCCGCAGTCGGCTGCATCTGGCCACATGCATCCCATTAAAAGAAAAGAAGCCCCGTTGAGATCTTTCAGCGGGTTTCCCTCCCTAAAGGTGAGCTCAAACGCCAATCCCCAAACCCAGGGTCGTGGCAATAGCCGCAACATCGCCGCTTTTTGGAGGGTTCCAGGCTCTGGCTGAAAAGGGAAATCAAAAAGCGACATGTTCTTGATTGACATTCAAAGAGGGGCAAACATTCTCAAATTTTAGCAGTTCAGTGGTTGGAGTTCAACCACTAAACCACAATAAGATCAAAAATGGGCAAAATGTTTTCCAACGACAACCATGAGCACCCGCCATGATGGATCCTCCTAAACACGGCCGTCCATCTCTTGCGAAGCTGCAGCGTGTAGACCCATCTCGTGCCCAGATCCTTGCGCACACTCGCGGAAAAATCACAGCAAGTCTCAGCGGCCGTCCGCAAGGGCACCAAAAAACCTTTCCTTTCCACACGGCTGAGGGGATCAATCCGCGCCACATGCTGTTCGAAAACAAATTCCTCTGGGGCCCAAAAATGCAAACCAAAACAACCAAGCAAACTTGTTGCCGTCCCAAGTCTTGAGAGTTGTGTTTTCCTTCAACTATGGCATGCAATTTCAATCGGCCCAATGGCAGGGTTGAACACTTTCACCGATCCTTGGTCACATTCTTCAAGAAGGACAGGACCATCGCCCCCGGCGTGTTCACGAAGGGGCTCCCAGCCATGATGTAACCTCCGAAGACGCTGGTGATGGGAACCTAAGCGCCATGCAATCCATTGGCCGAGCTTGGCAACCTGTAGATCGGGCATGTGCAAGGTCCTCCAGAGAGGTTAGAATAAGGGTACCAACTTTTTGCTGAAGTTTACTTGAGTAGGGGAAGCCTCCCCAAAGAAGGGTTACAAGTAAAGGGCACTACTGGGGGACTTAGTAACATTCATCAACCCCCAGTTTATTAGCAGATCAGGCCGCCCTGAGTGCACTTTTTGTATTTTTTCAGCTCACATCTGGATGATCTTCCTCCGTCCAGGACTACATCTGCACATGCCAACAAAACCATTTGCCCCAAGGACTACATCTGCACATGCCCTGCTCTGTTTACAAATAGGTTGATTAATCTGGGGTCAACGTTGTGTCTGCGTATTGACCTCTTGAAGATGCCACTGTGTATCTGAATTCCTGGCTTGCTCATGTCTTCGCAAGGGAACGCTCTCCATCTCTCCCCCTCGCGCGCAGAAGCGAGAAAAGGGCCCCCACCCCAAGAAGGGTTCGTAGGACCTTCTTAGGGTTCTTAGGAGAACCATCCTACCACTCTCCTTGCTGGTTCTCAGCGGAAATGATAAATGGAATGATCTCGAACTAAACAATTCCTTATGGGGTTCCTTTGTTCGGGAACCCAACTCATTCCCAAAACCCGGTCTCGTTGTTGCTTCCTACTTATCGCACCAAGACTCTCTTCCCACTCCCTCCGTTTGCTCAAGTCCCCTGAACACGTAAATTTCCAGTGTTAGATTCCCCAAACGGACGTCGCCTGCGACTTAGTCACGTCTTCGAAGGTCGCGAGCGTCTTCAGGTCAGCCACCCGATCAGTGAGCTTTCTGTAGAAGTAGCCCCCTGGCCAGATGTTCTTGATGCAGTCCTTGGCAAGTTGCCGACTCTCGCTGGCCCCAAAAAGGGTGTCGTCCTGTTTTTTGAAGGTTGGATCCTGCAAAATGGCTTAGATTCTCCAGTTGGTTTCCATTTTAAACCAAACAAACAACGGGTCCCCCCAAAAAAGACAGACCCAACACACCAAGCCCTGTACTGCATGACAATCTCTTCCGGTCCGCAAATGGGATGACAGGAGGGAGGAAAACACCACACACATCACAAAGGATACCCCTTGCGACATGGAACCTTGATGGTTTGGTACCTGATTCCAAGTGCCAGTTGTTGCGTTCCTTTCAAGGGAGCCTCTAGTAACCCCATGATTTTACCCTAAACCCTAGCAAGTGATAGGTCAAACGTCACCCCCCAAGTATGTTTTTCAGGAAACCACCCGAGTTTCTCGCTTTGACCCCCATAAACGGTCCAAGAATCTATGAACCCAGCTCTAGCTTCCATGAAGAAAGCGGCTACGGAGCGAAGACTTTGAGACTCATCAGCTTCAAGCGGTCACTCTCAATATGAGTCGCAAATTCAAAACCGATCGGTATTGAAACGGTCTACCCCTCAGTTGTTCAGTGACCCCGGGAAAAAAGAAGGGAACCCTTTTTGGGGCTTGGACCATTTTTAGTGGGGCAGCCACGCCAAACAAAAAGAGAGGGAAAATAATTGGTGCCACTGAACAACTGAGACCCAGAACCATGTAAAGAACTAGAAAGGCGGCGAAGGCAGCCGTTTATGGTTGGGATTACTTCCTCCTACCGGGTATTACCGGGTTTTGATTGATGGCTCATATGACTCTTCAATGAAAGAACATCCCGTAGCCTTCAAATGTTACTTGAGTCTACCCGCAATCATAATGTAAGGAACCATAACTTACACAGGATACCGGTGTCAAACATGGGCTTTCACGTCTCGCGACGTGACATTTCTACGGTGGCCTTTGTGTTGACACGTTTTGCATGTTGTCACGCGCCTTGGCGCCAAAATTCCATGTTCCTCAGGAGCAGTTCCCCTTCCAAAGTTGGTTCATGTCCCCAGCGACCAGTTGGATGTTCCGATGGCCAAAACGCTTGGGACAAGATACTGTGTTTCCCTGATGGGTAAAACCCAAAGCAGTGGAACCCATCTATTTCTGACCGATGAAACCTAACCCCAAGGGACCTTGGTACCTTGTGAGGATGTGCTTGAGGGTTCAACAGGGAAACCCTCCCCCAAAAAAGGGTAAAAGGGCACTACTGGCGGACCAATAATGGTTTTCAACCTAACCACTTGGGATACATGAATCCCTCAAACACTACGGGGCTTCTTTTCACAGAACCCACCAACTGCAAAGTGGAATTTTCGTTTATCCACATGGCCATGGGTCAAAATCCCGTACCCCCAGTGAACATCCGATTCAAGCCAACCACTAAAATAGGTTCTAAAAATGGGTGGTGCACCCACTCCAACATGGGATCCCACGGGTTTCGAAATGTGGCCGTGGGTCAGAACCCATGAGATCCCATGTTGGGGTGGGTGCACCACCCATTTTTAGAACCTATTTTAGTGGTTGGCTTGAATCGGATGTTCACTGGGGGTACGGGAGTTTGACCCACGGCCACATTTCGAAAAGCCGAGGCGCCGGGGGCACCAGCTTGGGGTTCTTGAACTGCAGCAGCTCCATCTCATTGCCGACCGCCACGCCCATGACGTGGTCCCGTCCCAGGATCTGCAGCAGCTTTAGGACCTGGCTCCAGTCCTGGTCGTCCTCCGTCTCGTTGCAGGTGACCTGGCCATGGGTCAAAAGCCAAGCCGGAAACCCCCGGCTTCCAAGAAGAGAAATACATGACATGGCAAAGATCATTAATTGCTTAGCAAAGATTATTAACTGTAAAATCCCAGAAATCATTATGGAAATGATCCCAAATGCAGGAATTATTAAGATGTAAACTTCTGGATGTCCAAAAAACCAAAATAAATGTTGATAGAATATAGGTTCTCCTCCAAATATTGGATCAAAGAAAAGTGTATTAGAATGAAGATCACCCAACATTAAAAGAAGTGTACCAGATAAGACAGGTAATGTTAATAAAAGCATGAAAGCTGCAATCAAGAAAGAGAAAGGAAATGATGGGATAGTCTTTAATATAAGATAATAAGATCTCAGATTTAGAATTGTTGTCCAAAAGTTAAGAGATGTAAGAGGATGTAAGACATGAAGATATACCAGATATTAATATGCCTAATATAAGATTTCCTGTACTTGAAGGTGATAAAGTCATAAACGAAGTGGATACTGGTGGATATAATGTCCATCCTGTACCACCTCCAAATTCTGAGATTAAAGAAAGGATTAGGAAATATATATGAAAGTAAAATAATTATCATAGAACAAATATTGACTCTAGGATATACCACTTCTGGAGATCCTTGAAAGATAGGTACAAAATATTTTTTAAATCCTGTCAGGTATTACTAAAAAGAAGATCATAAGAAAGCCATGCAATGTAATGCTTATATTGTAGAAGTTCTGGTTTTCTGGAGATATACTCATATTTCCTGATGAATATAATTATATTCTTATAAGGACTGATATTAATGTACCGGAGATTCCAAAGATGAATCCAGACAATAACTAATAGATTCCTAAGCCTTTATGATTACAATTTGAAACTAGTGAATGAATCCAACCGCTAAAATAGGCTCTAAAATGGGTGGTGAATTCACCTACCCCAAAAGGGGATCCCATTGGTTTTGACCCACAGCCACCTGGGAACAAGGGCTTTGCCTGGGGCCAAAGCCGAAAAGGGGAGTCAGGGTAAAGTGGGGGGGGGAGGCATGATGCCCTAGCTTTTGCCCACGAAACCATGCAACTTCCTAAGTCCTAAGGGCCCCTTGGTACCTAGGATATAGGTCAAAGGCCAAAGCACATGCTGCCTGAAAAACAACAACCTCTTTCCCGTGACAGATCCCCCCCAAAAAACAGAGGACAATCAATCAACTTTTCTATTTCACGTGTCTTGACTTTTGAGGAACCATCTTTTTGGGTAGTTTCAAAGGTTGATTCCCAACTGGTTTAGGGGGGTTCGTATGGGTAGGGCACGCCCCAAAATGGCAGTGGTGTTCCTTTTAGTTTCCACTTTTAAAAAACCAACCACAAGGAGGGTTCTGACTCAAAAAACAAGATGAACCACCCCCCCAAAAAAACAAAGCGTCGTACACCCCAACCGGTTTGGGGGTCCATATCTTTTTGACCCTTCTACTTCAACAAACAAAGTAAAGAACAAACACCTGGGACCCATATCACACACAAAATCATGGGGTCCCCCCCCTAAACCCCCCCCCCCAACCCTTCCCCCCCAAAAGAAACAAACAAAAACATGGGACCGGGACCCGGACCGAAGTTCCATCGACGCGCGCCCTCCGCGGCCTCCAAATCCGACCTCCGCCCTCTGATCAAAATCGGACAAAACCCTCCCCCCCAAAATCAATCAGCAACCCATGGGACCGGGACCCATGGGAACGTGCGCGTTCGCGCTCCCGCGAAGAAAGATCCGCGACCTCCGAAATCCTCCGAGTCCCGAGGCGATCGCTCGAGGCGAGGCGCCTGGTACAAAAACGGTGAACCCAGGACTATCTTCCCCACTAAAAAGGGGCTGGGACTGGCCCTTACCCCTTAAAACTCCCTGCGCCCTGGGGAAGTTCTCATCTTTTACAGACATAGCCCCATGTTACCCCAAAAGCTGAGAAAATTTTGTGTTTTTAAGAGCTAAGGTTTTCCCCTTCAGCGTCATCTCCATCCCCGGGTTTTGAGCGAGGCGAGGCGCCTGGGTGCCCACCAAGACCTTGGCGTCGGAGGCCTCCACCGTGGCCTTCAGCGCCTTCCACGCCGCCTCCGAAGCGACAAGCGCGAGAGCGAAGCGAGCGAGCGGTTGCCGGCGGCTCACATGAAAAGCATCCCCTGGAGGATGGGTTTGTTGGAAGGTTGAAAGCTCAAAAAGAGGGAGTTTCCTTGGGTGAAAGGAGACATTGGGCAATTTTAGTGGGGTGTTGTGGCTTTTGGAGGCAAGAAGTGTGCCGAAGTCTTGGGAAGGGGAAGTTCAGGGCTACACATGTTGCCCTAAAATGGGGTCTGATTCGCGGTTTCCTTGTGGGTTCCGGGGATTCCATCTCAATCTCTGCAACCTTGGCTTCGGCTTCCACATTTCGGGACAAGGATACGACAGTTTGGCCCACATCCAAGTGTTCCCTTTTGCCAGGCGTATTGAACTCGCGGCAACGAACTTGACTTGCTTTCGGGCGGCTATGCCTACGCATGTGGCTCCCGAATCTCCGCTGCAGATTTCGTGAATACGAAGCAGTCCGAGGCAAAATGGCACATTTGCAGATTTTTCAGTGCACGAGGTGCGCGTTCGGCCGCAGAACCCAGGGGAATACACAAATATCGGTATGGATTGGGTATGGATTGGGAATAAAGTGATCAACATGAATTGGCCCTTTCTTGAATCTCGTCCACAGGTTCCCCGACTTGTGCATGACCCAAGGTTTGGTCGAGGGGATCCCAGTTCGTATCATTGAATGGTTGCCTGGCCGTACACTTCGATGGTCCGGAGGATGGCTACATAGTTTGTGGCCCCAGGACGTTCAAAGAAGGTACGTGGGGGTAAGCAGGTTACGAACCACTTGGCAAACTCCCTGGCAAAATGATTCACCAACCCGAACTAAGGGACCACCCTAACGAACCTTCACTTCGTCGCCACCCCTCCCCCCCCGAGTGGACCCAGGTATTCCCTTTTAACCCACTTACTTGGGTATGAAACCCCCGCCCAAAAACAAGCAAAATAAAAATGGCCGTGGCTTCTGGCTGGTTTCCCTTGAAACCAACTCAAAAAGGGTACCAACTTCACAGAAAATAAAGAGCCACTTGCCGGATGGACCTTGTCGCAAGCACCTCAGTTGTTCAGTGACCCTGGAAAAAAAGGGAACCCTTTTTTGGGAAGACCATTTTAGTGGGGCAGCCACCAAAAAAAAGGGGAAAAAGGGAGCCACTGAACAACTGAGGCACTGTGACCCCTTTCGAAGTTCTTGGGACCCTGCCTCGCGCTGGTCGTCCGGCCAGTTGGGGTCCCAAGCCTTGAAGAGACGCAAGGAGCTGAGGTTCGTCTTCGCGTTGGGCCACAGCCCTCGAGTCGAACCGGAGACGAGAAGGGAGACATGGCTATGGGTCAAAACCCCGGTGCCCCGGTGAGCACCCAGAAAGCCTTCTAGAAAGACAATGGAGTGGTAACCATCCCCACTTTTGGCACCTTAGGTTTTGACCCACAACCACATGGATGTCCTGGTTTGGGGACATAGTCCAAAGCACACGCGCTTTGGTGAGCTTCTTTTCTTCGGTTTTGAAGGAACAATGAAAGGAATCTAGAGGTTTTGGTGGTTGGTGAATGGGGGGAAAGTTAAAAGGATAATTCATCATCTTTAGGGAACCGAGTACTTTTTAAGAAGATGCCCAACAGCCGTAGGAAGACGGGCGGCCTTTACAAGAACCATCTGTTCTTTGGTCCAACCCTTTGTCATGCCTTCTCCACCCAAATTTTCCGCCTTCCCCTCAGTTGCCCAGTGGAGGGTTGCAAATACAAGTGATGCTGCAACACATACTGCAAAGAAACGCAACAAGGTCAGGATCCTAACAAACACCCTCTGACAGGCCCAACACGGGCTACTTCAAGTGTCCACGATCAGCCATGAAAGGCCCCGCTTTTCAGGACTCAAGATGAGGTCTGGGATTCTTTGGGACTGGGCGGGCCCCTCTCCCCACCAAGCCAACAAACGACCCAAAAGGCAAGTGGACTAAGACCCTCTCTATCACAGCTACCAAGGGAAGCCACTGGATGTCTTGGCGCAAAACATTTGAGGAGATGGACTTCTGCATGTTGATGATGGGTAGCTTGCAAACCTTCTCAGTGCAAAGAACAGGCTCTGGCAATCTCCAGACCGATAGTCAGCAATCCAACACCATTTTAGGGCGAAGCAGCCCTTCAATCTGCTTCATGATCGTCATTCTGGGCTCCAAGTGGCTCCCCGGGTGGCTCTAAACAAAGGGCAGCTTTGTGTACATAGAATCATTTGCAGCCAGCTCTGTTGGAGTTGTCGCAATCTGCCGACTACCCAATAGGCCCATTGAAGGTTATGCCTCTCCTGCGTCTTCACCCTGTACGGCTCCGAAACTACATCTCTTGCATGCACTTGTTGTATTTTTTGCGCACTTTGTTTACAGCAGCACAGAGCTTGACGATTGAAAGTCATCAAACGGCAGTAGCTCGTAGGACATTCATGGTTTTAAATGGGTGTGTCTGCTTTTAAAGCATCCCATCTGTTTGCGGTGTTTAAGGAAGTCCAAGTCGCCAGGAATCTTGGAGGTGCAGTGCTGGTAGGTGGTATCATCCACGGCCAAGCCCTTCTGATCGGCCTTCACGATCCTCGCGCGCGTGACGCGTGGTACGCGGCACGCGCATGGGAGGAATACGACGGATTAGAGAAGTGTGTATTTGCCTGGAAGGCAAACCCCAATAAGCCTTGCCTTCAACCAACAAGAAATCCCTTGCACTGCGGGTGGATTCGAATAGCTCATTCATATGGGTCGCTTTTTTTGGTGTGGGGACGCCCCCTTTTGGTTTGGCTTAATTTGATTGGACAACTACCAGGTCCACCCTTGCCAGGCCCTAAAAAAGGGACGAGCCGCATTCATCTCTGTTGTCCCATTTAGGGACCCACAACTGAAAGGTGATCACCTTTTGGGGGCATGACAAAACAGGGTCTCCACATCAGGGAAACCAAAAGGTGAGATCCGAAAATGGTTTCCAACTCAAACCAAACGTCCAGATATTGCGGTCGATTCGCTTACAAGTGAGTTCTAGCACCCAGAGGCTCCAAGTGGATTGATTTCGGGCCCTCAAAAAAAAAGAGCGCCAGGTTTTTGAGACCAACAAAATTCTGGGGTTCCAGCCGCTGGGTTTAAAAGTTTCCCCAGAGGCGCCCGATTTCGGGCCCTACAGCCAGGTTTTCAGACCCCCAAAGATCCAAGCGGGTCCAAAGCTTCGGGCTTGAGGGGTCAACGCCGAAGTCGGCATCCTAGCTCCAGATTTGAGAGGATAGAAAAAGGGTACCCGTTTTGTTTTTTCATTTTTTTTTCTCCTTTTTTCTTCTTGTTTTCCCCTTCTTTTTCTTCTTCTTTTTTTCGGTAGTCTGTTTTAGTAGGGGGGTTCCTCCCCCAACAAAGTGGGTAAAAGGACCTAGTCTTTTTAGTTGGTACGGTGGATCTAAATTATATTGCGAGTGAACCAACCGCAAACCATGGGAACTTACAGGGTTTCCCTTGTTCCGTTACTGGGAAGACCTAGCGATCGCAGCCCCTCGGCCAAGCAGCTCTCCAAAGTCCAGGCTGCTCTTGCACTGCCACGCTTTGGTCGGAGTCGGCGGGGGCGGTGGCGGCGGCGGCGGTGGCGGGGGCGGCGCCGGAGTTGTGGAAGGCGCAGGGCTTGGAGAGGGCGCCGGGGCTCCGTGGTTACCTCAGAAACTCACACCAACCAACATGGGACCTGACGTTCAGGGGGTGGAAGAGCAAAATGGTCCAAACCAGGCTCTCCCCCCCGAACCTTGGTTGGGCGGGCCAAACAAATAAATGTTGGCAGTTCAGTGGGAATTTCAACCAACAACAAGAATAAGCAACCATGTAAAATGTTTCCCAACAAGAACCATGGAACGTCAGGTTCCATGTCAATTGCTGGGAGGCAACACCTGGAGTCAGCCTGGATGGAGGTCAGTGTGCCTCACTTTCCCAGTGGATTGACCAAACCCCCCTTTTTGCTTTCCTTTTTTCCAAGTGAGACTCCAGGTGGTGAGGTTTTCACGTGGGTTGGCACTTTCTGAGTTGCCAAAAGTCTGAACTTTATATTTGCTAAAATGGGCCAAGCCCAAAAAGCTTGAAAATCCGAAACGGAACTTAGGGAGTGAGTGAGGGCTTGTAACCCAGTGCTGAGCTGATCTTCCTTTTACAGCAAGCAACGGTAAACAGTGCTGATCTCCCTTTTAACATGGTCTCATCTGGTTGGTGATTGTACCCAACGTCGTTCCCTACCGCAAACAGCGGTACATATTGACCGTTGCCCACCTGGCCAACCATCTTTCGCTTTGCTGAACTTGCCCCGTATTCATCCAAATGGAATGAAACAAGTCCTGGCCATCGGAGACCATCTTCCTTTGCTCAGGTTCCGCTGTGGCTTTTGGTCCCTTGATGTCCTTGTCGATTGCCTATGGGAACCAACTGCAACCAAACACAACACAACGCCACCAAATCGGTTGAATCCGCAGCGGTGCCACCTACGGCAATCGATTCAACTGACTTGACTGTTTTCAGAGGCAGCCAAAAGGCCACGGCCTTACACCGGACCGGCGAGACAAATCGCGTCCGAATTCCCTTGAGGGAATGACCTCTGGAGCCTTGAAGTTGGACTTAGGGTCACAATTTACCCATCAACACCTAAAGGGGTCAACTCTGACTACCATGCGAAGCAGGGCGACAAAAAACAAAACCCGCACCAGGGAATTTTGTTTGATTCACCTACCCAGCTTTGGAGCTGTTTCTTTGTTTGGCCAACATGGGGTCAATGTAATTACATTCTCACAGGGCTCCAAATGGGCAGCTTTAGCTACTTCTGGTTGCTCCTCCAAGACATTGGATGTCAAACAAAAACTTGGGAGCCAATCAAAGGGCGAGTTGTTCCATGTGGGTTCCTTTTAAAGCCCTACACTTTTGAGTGGATGGGCTAAACAGTCCAAACTTTTTCTTTGCCACTAAGATGGTCCAAACCCAAAAGAAGGCTAAAGTTCGAAACGGATTTCGGGAAGTGAATGCTACACATGCCAGGGTGCCATCAGAATCTACAGTTCCAACATCAAAATCAAGTGATTTCCAAGTAAAGGACGTACTCACATCAGGGATCGTTACAATAGAAACACCTCAACATTGCAACTTGTAAATGGTGGTTTCCAACTTGATTTTGGTGTTGAAAAAATAAAATGTAATTCAAATGGTTGCAACATGTATCTTTTTCAGGAGCCCTACTCACATCATGGCGAGCTTGTCTTAATCAAAGCCGGTGTTGGCCTTTTGGCAAAAACTAAGATCCAGCCGTTTGTGAACATGCAGTCCTTTCTTATCAGTTCTTTCTCTTCTTGCTGGTGCTCGGAAAGGTGGGAATGATTCCAGGGACTTCCAAGGAAACCCTCAGTTGTGTTTTTCCTTTTTTGTTTTCTGGGGTCATTCCATTTCTCAATCCCTATTGCACCAAGGAACGGCAACAAAACTCGGTTGCTTTCTGCTCCCCTGCTAAAAGTTGAAAACTTTTAGTGGTTTAATACGGAAAACCCACTAGTGGGCAACATGTTAAAGTTCTAACATCCCTTGGCAAAATGCACCAGTTGGATGTTTTCTCCTTTTTGCCCTAGGGTCATTCCATTTCTCATTCATTGCACCAAGGGCAACAAAAAAAACACCGCAAGCACTTCCCTCATTTTTCTTGGCTGGAAAAATCGGACCCCAGCAAAAAAACAATCCCTTTTTTGCCCGGTTGTTGAGAAAACAAAGAAAAAAACCCAAAAAGCCAAAAAAGGTAAAGAGGGGAAGGACTTCTGGTTGGAAGTTTTTTGCTGAGCGGTCCGCCAGCCTCCCGAAGTGAGCGGTCGGCCGCGCCGAGGCGCCCAGCTCGGCCACTGCCACCCCGGCGACGCCGGCCACTGCCAGCAGCGCGGCGCCCAGCACCGCCAGGCGCTGGCATCCTCGAGCAGCGTAGATCACAGGCAGATTGAGTGAACCTGGCCTATGGCATATATAGGGTTCTCCAACTGGGGACCAGTTATAGAACCATGATGAGACGAGGCTGGAAAAAGATTAGGACCCCAGCCAAAACTATATCTAGTTTTTTTCTTTTTGCCTGGCGAGTGGAAAACAAAGGGAAGACCAAAAAGCAGCAAGACAACAAGGGGAGCTAATTCTGAGGAAGTAGAGTGGGGACCAATTTATGGAAAATATATGTATATATATATATATGTCTTATTGTTTGCTTCACATTGAGTCACAGGTAACATGTAAAAAAATGCATCCTAAGTCTACCCCAGGAACATCTTTCAGACGGTTTGATCCTATTAGGTTGTTAGATCCAGTAGAGAGGTTAGAATAAGGGGACCCGATGCTTTTTTTGTGCAGTCTATTTTAGCAGGGGAACCCTCCCCCCAAAAAGGGTAAAAGGGCGCTACTGGGGGACCTAGTCTTTTTTGTTGGTATGGTGGATGCCCGAAATATATTGCGAGTAAACCGACCGCAAACCATGGAAATTTACAGGGTTTCCCTTGTTCCGTACGTACAATATTTTTTTTTGGCATCCACCGTGGTGGTTGGGCTTAGTGGGGTTTGCCTTTGATTTCCGGATACAAACAAGAAGCCCAACAAACAGTTTCGTTGGGTAAGGACAGACTTGGAGATCTGAAACTCAGTTGGCCAAAGGAGCGAGAAATGGAACGTGATCACCTGTTGGGGCCATGACTAAAAATGGAGAATGACACGGGTTTGCCCTAAATAGGGAACCTCGCAATGTTTGCTCCGATAAAAAACACACCCCAAAAGGGGCAAATGAACCCCAAATAGTGCTTGGACCTCCCTTTTGGTTGGTATTCAAGGCAAACTTTGGCATGGTGGGAGCCGATGCGTAGTTTGAGACACACCAATATGATACATATGGTTCATAGGGCCTGAACGTGGGGGTACTTCGAAATCAAAGGTCTCACTAGCATTGGAGAATCATGTTTGCAATTTCTCAGTCGCCTGTATTCTGTGGCCTGCTGCCTTTGTGCTGATTTAGAACCCAATTAACTATAACTTGTAGAGGAGTCTTCTAGCGGATCCTTGTTTGGGGCTTCATGTCAATTGCAGGGGAGCAATGGTTGAACACCCGCCAACATGGTGGGTGAGCACAAACTCCCCATGCAAACGTCCACAACATGGCTCCCAATTACAATCCATCATATATGTGGGGGCTGATGAAAAGGACCGATCTACACGGGATGACCGTCAAGGAGAAACCGCCAAACAACTTTACAAGGGAAAAGTTGCCGAGCCGATGGTCAAAACTGACCGAAGGGAAGATTGACAGATACTCCAAGGCTTCCCGGCCAAGGCACGCAGGGTTCGCTGTTGGACAGACTTGCAGATCTGAAAAACACCTCACCAAACAAGTGTAACGAAGCCTATGAAGCTCAGAGTCGTTTTTGAAAGGCCGACCTCCGTTTGCTTGAGCCCCCCACAGAAAAAACAAAAACTCCCGTAGTGAAATCGATTCCCTTCAAAACGAACCGGGGAAAAATAAAACAAATGCTATTTTCAGCTAAATGGAAGCCGCAGGTTCCTTTGGTCCAAGGAAGCCGTTTCAACTCACCTAGGTCCTCCAGTAGAGAGGTTAGAATATACCAACTTCTTTTCTGTGGTCCATTTTAGCCGGGGAACTTCGAACCCTCCCAGCATCTCCCAACCAAGAAAGGGGTGAGAGGGCGGGCAGCTGGTCACCGAGCATCCGTAGGCCCGCGGCGCCGCTTGCAGGGGTTCAGCAGCTCCGGAAGTGGCCAAGGGCACTCTGGCCTCCCGCGCGCGTTCGGCGTCCATGGCGCCAAAGCTGAGCCGAGGCGAAGCGAAGCGATGGGTCCGGGTTGGTTAGGCCAGGTTTAGGTTAGGCCAGGTTTAGGTTGGGTAGGTTTAGGTTGGGTAGGTTTAGGTTAGGTTAGGTAGGTTTAGGTTAGTTTAGGTAGGTTTAGGTTAGGTGGGAATAAGCCCTACAAATCATACCCCATGGTTTCCTTGAGGATCTAATGGGGCTCTCAGTCGGAATGAGTTGGAACCCCTGCAAACACCGAACATGCTTGCTTGAAATCAAATTCCGCTCAAAACCACGAAATGAAGCCATGGTTGAAACCACAACCTTTGGTGGCAACAGGGGAACCATCGTGTCAGTGCTTCGAAGCTGCAGGATTTCGTCCATCCACAGTACCTCAGGCAAAACACCTGGGTGCCTCGAAATTGGACTTTTCCAGAATCGATTTCTGAACATGTTCATGAAAAAGAACCAAACAGGAAACCAACCAGGAAACCAACCATTCCCAGAGGTTCCCAAGGGAACCCTTTGAGGATGGGCTTTGTTCTTAGAGGGGGGTTAAAGGACCTCCTCAAAGGGTATCAAGGGAGCCTTGGGGTGCCCCTTATTTGGTTTTTTGTCCATTGTCCCTTTGGTTTCCCATTTAACCAATAAACCAGTCCCTAAAAGAGCCACACCCCCTTCTCGAAAGTCCTGCGCAAAGTCGACCCAACAGAAGACCGAATTCATGTTGAGCAAATGACAATCGTTTACCTCTGTCTGCGTAAGCATGAGAATCATCCGCGAGTGATTGCCTGCTGGCATAAGGCACCTTGCCATTGAGCAGGGATGTCTGTCTCAGGGGAATTGGACACAGCTTAATGGCTGCCTTGCCGGCTCTTCTTCAACTTGGCTAAACTGGACTGCCCCTGTTGGCATGATTATGAAACCCAATACGCCCACATCCTACAAGCATCGATGCAATGTTGCTACAAAAAGCATAGCAACATAGGAATTGATCTTCATCGGAGATGGACCCTTTGGTGGACATTAGCTACATTCAGAGTTATGTCCGCCCGGTTTTGAGCGCGGGGAGAGGCCTATGGAACCAGCAACCACACACACACACACAAAACGGTGAAGTTAAGTTGGAAGACAACTCCATAATTACACATATTATTGCAGATATATGCACATAGGTGTAAGGCATACACACGCATAGATGCTAACATAGTATATATTTACAGCTTAAATATGCACATTTACACTGTTGTTGTATGTATGATGCACATGTAGACCACGGCGCATAAACACGCTCGATGCAAAAAGGGGGCCTGGCAATAGCCAGTGGCACCCCCCATCCCCCTCCCCCCAACACCAAGGCCGCTGCGTGGGCATTGCGACGCGCAGTGCGCTTGCTCCACACCAAGGGCGCTGCGCCGTTTTACGGCCTGAAGTTTAAGGATGGTCAATGCTCACAGCAAGTGTGTCAGACGTCGATGGGGTGGTGCTAAGCTTGATTGCACATGCCAGGGCGCCATCAAAATCTACAATTCCAGCACCCAAAACAAGTGCCCCCCCAAGTCAAGAATCCACTCACATGGTGAGCTCTCCTTAATTGAAACCGGTATCGCCCGTTAGGCAACATCAAGTAAGATCCAGTCAGGAAAACCAGGCGATTCTTCTCAGTCATCTCTCTTCCGCCTTGCGCTCTTGGGCCACATCCAAATATTAACGCTGCACGCAGTGGCCGCGGTGGAGAGACACGGCGTGTGCAGCGAACGCGTCAACTTGAGAATCGCATGTCAGGCAGCATTTACCTCACTGGTCCAACACAATGTTCATGCCAATTGGGGCTGTGCCTCATAAACGCCAACAGCAGTTGAGAATGGTCTCTGAAAACCAAGAGCGCGATCCCTTGCAGGCTTCCTCTGCGCCTTGAACACGGACAAGATGAAGTAACAAACATTCGCAAGGCTCTACCTTGGCACTGTCGAATTGCACTGTCGCTCGAAGAAACCGGGACTATCGGGTACTTGGTCGGACTGGTCGAACTTTTGAAACCATAAACCGCTCAACCAGTGGCAAAACACATCGGATCATACTAGCCACATGTCTGGGTTTTGCATCTAGTCATCAAGTCCCATAACAAGGCATGTTTCATCACACAATCCGAACATGTGTGAGTGTTCCTTCCTTGCGCTGGGGGTTCCAAGATTGCCCCATTTTCCCAAACCTAGAGCAGGTGAAAGGGTCTCTTGGCGCCCTTGGTGGAAGTAGATGGCGCGCGATTCCCTTTGGGTAAGTAAAGGGGATGACCAAACCAAAATGAAGACACGGGTGCCTCTTCTTGGGCACATCCCCAAAATGGTGGATTTCCTCTTGGCTTTTCTTTAAAAGCAACCAAAAAGGGGTCCCCCCCAAAAACAAAAAATCCCCACCCCCCACCCCCCCAAAAACAAACCAAGAGGTTATATACAAAAACCACAAACTACAGCAAACCAACCGTGCAAGGAGGTGAAGTTACAGAGGCTATCTCCGCGATCGACCTTGCAGCCGCGGGGAGAAAGGCACCTCACCGCTGCCTGCGGTGATGGCTCCGATGCGGACGAGGCCCTTGTTTGAGGCTTCCTGTGGTCCGAGGTACAAACCTTTTCACCAGGGGCCGTGGGGAAGGATCCCTATGATGCAACAGCAAGGGCTTCCCAAAGACTGAAATTGTTCATAGAAAGTGGGATTCCCTTGTAGAAAAGTGGGGATAAACCCCTTGAGCCCACAACCCAACTAGGTCGTCCAGTAGAGAGGTTAGAATAAGTTGGTACCAACTTTTTTCAGGACGACTAGTTTAGTAGGGGAACCCTCCCAACCAAAAAAGGGGAGAGAAGGGCACTACTGGGGGACCTAGCCAAACACCAGCGGCGGTAGCCAACACGTTTCAAACCTCAACATGTCCGCTGACCTGGTTTGGTGTGCATGTTTTCCAGTTCAGGAATGGACAGGGACAAACACATCTCACGATGTGCCCAGTGTGTAATTCCCCATCAGGAGCCGTGGTTTATCATCATTGATGTCTTTGCGAACTCACTAGGCACTGATCCAGAAATCTGCTGAGTCTATTCAGAGTGCGCCAGTTTCAAGGAAACCCTTCACCACAGCACC